AAGCGAGCTGGTTCGTTTTCGCGTAGGCTTTGCGCGAGGAACATGCGACGGCCTGTACCCCGAGAGCAGCGACAACAACCGCGGCGCTGGAAGGAGAGGAGATTCGACGACGGAGAAGCGCGCGAGAAAAAGCGAAGGGACCGAAGGAACGGACCGCGTGACCACCTACGCGACCAGAGGCGTTAAAAAAGGAGGCCCGAGGACGCGCACCGCTCGACGACATACCTGTCCGTTGCGAAACGCGTCGCAGGAGAGAGAATATTCGTTTCTTGCTCGAGCTTCGACGGGTAACGAGCGGTTCGACGCTGGAAGATAAACACGAGAGAGCTTCCGTTCCGCGCGGAAAACGAGAGGAATCGATTTCGACGCGGGAACACGGTCTTCGAAAGTGATCCCGCCGCCGCCGCCGCCGCCGCGGCTTCGTTAACTTTAATTTCAGTTTCTGCGGGGGACCGGCCGAGAGAGAATGCGCGATAAAACCGAAGCGGAGGCTTTGTTCTCGCGGGAAGAACCCCGCTGAATCGCGCGGTTGAAAGCGGAGTCGGGGAATGGTTTCTGGTTTGGTGGTTCCCTTAGCCGGGCGATATCCTGACCGTGAACGGATCCGAAATTTCGTCGCGCTAATCCTAATATGTACAGCCGATCGGAAGGACACGGGGGTGGGTGAAATTGACGGGCCCGCCAACGCGGCGCCGAAGACCCGTCGAACCATGGGGGACAACACAGCCGGGAATCGATTACCCGGTCGCGGAAAAATCGCGCGCGGAGCCAATCGCAGAGCGTGAACCACGGGCGTTTTTTCTGTCGGATCGTTCGCCGGAGAGGATCCTCTCGCGGCGGTGGAGAACCGGGGCCTCGGCGAGAGAGGACCGAGGAAAGAAACGGCGAGACTCGGCGGTGGCGAGGCGAGGAGCGCGAAAGCGTGTAACAAACAACACAGGGGAGAAAAAGAGAAAAGAGAGAAAAGGGAAACGAGAGAAGCGATTTCGGCGCGCGGTGTGCCCGGCGGCGACGGATCAACGCAAGAATCTCGCTCTGCGATTAGCCCCCGGGCAACGGAACGGCAATAATAACATTAATAATAGGTAATATTAATAATAAGTCGGTAATAATAAAGAATAATAATAAATGACAATAAAGAGACGACGAATAATATAGTATCGGTAATAATAAAACCATCGTAATAATGACAAATAATAAAATGACAGACCCTATTTTCTCGCCGTTTACAATAGTTCCAGTTTGCTCCATTTTTTTCTTTTCCTTCTTTTTAGCCGCGAAACGGTGCCTCGACGTTGGAAACATCGCAAGTAACATACATATATAGTATATATGTATATATATATATATGTATATATATGTATATGTATATGTATATATAATACAAACTACAACCCTTCGCGATAGAATATCTCTGTCTCTCTGATATACATAGATTCTTCGTGCCGTTTATACATAATATATCTTATGTTCATATATATATATATATATACCTACATATATATATATCTATTTATTTGTTTATATATATATATTTATATACTTACTCTTTATACAGAAGGGGTTTTTCTTTGCGAGGGGGTTCTGCTGTCGCTAGGATTCGGCACACGTTTCCGGACACGCGCGTGTTATTTTTCCCCGTTCCACGCGGCGTGTCCTTTTTCGTATTATGTCTTTTGGGTTTACTCTGTCGCGCCGCGCGTCATTATTCCCTCCAAAAATTCTCGATTCCTCTCGCAGCTCCCTCGTCTCCGACGGTCGAGCCTCGGCGTTCTCCAAGCCGTCGGTGGCGGCAGCGGCGACGGCTGCTGCTGCGGCGGCGGTGGCGGCAGCGACGACGACGACGACGATGACGACGACGACGACGATGAAACCACGACGACAACGAAACGTCGACGCTGCGCGCTCTCACACTTAACTTACTAGCTTTATCTAGTACATTATTTACAGTCCATATTTACTTATGTTACATCATCCGGCGGGTTTGCTTCGAACAAATCCCGCGCGAACACACCGCTCTTCGCCTCTGGCTGCGTTCCTTTCGTTTTCTTTCGTATATACACGGCCATCGTCCGTCCGTCGCGCCGCAATATATCCGCACCGCGTCGGGTCGGATCGCGCGAACCTCGATTCGTCCCCGAAGGACGACGCGCGTTTCCCGTCCGTTCTCTCTATCTTTCTCTTTCTCTGGATGCACAAAACCGTCCCTCGTATTCGCCGTGGGTCGAAGAAATTCGAACAGCGCGCACTTTCTTTTCCTCCTTGGATCGTCGACACCGTCGCGAAACGATTAACAAACGGGACAACGGCGACGGGCGGCGGGAGGGTCCTTTTCTTTTGCGGCTCGCTCGTGGCGAACGAACGGCACCAGCGGACAACGAACGAACGAACGGGCAAACAACGGACGGACCGAATAGACCGTAGACGGGTTACGCACTTCCGACACAGGGTATCGCGCACGGATCGGTCACGAAGAACGTGCACGTAACGCGCGCTCTTCAATGATCCGGACGTTGGACAGGGTCCTTTGGTCCCCGTCGCGTAGACGACGACGACGACGATGATGTCCCTGGCGTTGCTGGATGACGATGAGAAGCGGTGTCTGGGCGATCCAACGATCGCGGTTAATCGCAAGCCTCCCCGATGATCCGGGCTCGGCCTCGTGAAACCCCGTTGAACCTCGTCGAAGCGTATCTTGAAAGCGATTCTCGTCGGGCACACTGGTTTAGTTGGCGAACACCCGGAATCTGGTTAAAGTCCGTGGTGCCGGTGTGCCCGATCGTCGCTTGCTCCCTCGTTCTAGGCGCATCGCGCTCGGAAGAAGCGCGATAAACGCGCGCGAGACTCTTCCGAACAGCTCTAGGACCACGGCTACGAGTTGGACGAGTAGCTGTTGGTCCGCGCCTGTAGGTAGTGATGATAGAACGGAGGGAGCGTGTCCGGCGGCGAGGAAGCCACCGGATGATTGTTCGCCGAGTTCTGTGAGGTTATCGAGAGGCCCAACGGGGGAGGCCCGGGCGAACGCTAGTGAGCCGCCAACGAGTGGGCCGTGAGACCCTGAGGGCTGAGCATCGGCGGACTGTGGCTGTGCCCCATAGGCGATCCGTGCAGGTGATCCTGCGGATGGTAACCCTGGTGGAGGCCCGCCTGTCCCTGATGCCCGGGCGGCATGCCCTCCATGATACCGTCGCCGAGCGTGTTCGGCGGCGTCATCCTCTTCTCCTTTTGCCGTCGGTTGCAGAACCACACCCTGACCACCTCCTTCTCGAGCTGTAGATTCTCCGCGAGGCTGCCGATCTCCTGCGCGGACGGTTTCGGCTGTTTGTGAAAGTGTTGCTCGAGGGCGCCCTTCACCGTCACCTCGATCGAGGTGCGCTTCTTCCGCTTCCTGCCCTGGGCGGCGATCTTGTCGATGCTCGTCGGCGAGCCGGTCGAAGAGTCCGCCTCCTCGAGCCACTTCTGCAGCAGCGGCTTTAGCTTGCACATGTTCTTGAAGCTCAGCTGTAGAGCCTCGAACCTGCATATCGTCGTCTGCGAGAAGACGTTGCCGTAGAGAGTGCCGAGCGCGAGGCCGACGTCCGCCTGGGTGAAGCCGAGCTTGATCCGCCGTTGCTTGAACTGTTTCGCGAACGCCTCGAGGTCGTCCGAGGTCGGCTGCTCGTCCTCGCCGCTGTGGTCCCGGTCGTGCGCGTGGCCGGGATGGAGCGCGTGGCCGACCGGCGAGCCCGGGTCCCTTAGGTTCGGATGGAGACCGGTCTGGTGATTGTGCAGCTGGGGATGATGTTGATGCGGGTGCGAGTGCAGCATGCCGTTCATCGCGACATAGTGTTGTTGCAGGGTGGTGGGCGAGGCCGCGCCACCGCTCGGATTATAATGCGCCGACGGGACGACGGGCGCGTGCCAAGGATGCGGCGATGCCATTCCCGGCGACTGATGAGGACCGCCGCGGTGCGGATGCATCGACTGGTCGTTGGCAGCGGCCGCGGCCGCCGCTACCGTCGCCGCCGCCGCCGCCAACGGTTTCACGTCCACCAAACCGCCGGCCGCGTTCGTCTGGTGCGGATGATGGTGCGGATGATGGCTGGTGTGGTGCATGCCCATCGAGGACGCCCAGTGGTCGCTGCTCGGCTGCAGGCTCACCCATGGATTCGCCGCCGAGAGGCTCGCCGTCGGGTGCGACAGACCATTTGGCGACGGGGACGACGACACCTGGTGATGATGATGATGGTGGTGATGATGTTGCGGCGCCGGCATATACTTCATCTCCCCGGCGTCGGCGGCGCTGCGAGGCGAGCTCGAGGAGTAGCCACCCACGGCGATGTTCATCCCAATCGCGGTACCCGAACCACCATCAAGCTCGGACGACACTGCGCTACCAATCGGCATGTACGTGGTAGCGGCCATCTACTTCCCCTCGTCCGGAGGTTTCGCGAAACCCGCTTCGCTGTTGGTTTATTATCTCCCTCGGATCGTGGCCTTCGGTTCGGGCTGCCCCTGCAAGGCACCCCTATCCTGTGGTGCACTCTTGCTTCCTATCTAGCCTCGCTGGCCGGATCTCTGTTCCCCTTTCCTCGATCCTCGGACGTTGCTTCTTCCACTCGTAAACCCGGTTACTCCGTTTCCTTCTCACAGGGAACCAATGCTCCGAACACCGAACACGTTCCCGACGTCCACCGGGATGTCTACGATGACGAACAACCGAAATGCTTCAGAGTCCTTTCTCTCTATCCCTCGCTCTTGATCAGCGATCACGAGTCACACGCAGCGCACAGTCCATCTTTTGCGGGGACACTCGAAATCCCTGGTGAGCGACATGGTTGCGCGTGCAAACAACCGATAGTCCATAATATCTCCGCGCAGCTCCGTTGGAAATCCGTGACAACGGTGCGGATTACCGAAACACCCTCCGCTAGGGCCGCGACTCTCGTCCTCCGGGGGTGGTCCCCGTCGGAGACGGTGTCCAGCTTCGAACGTCCAACACCCACGACGGTTCACCCTCGTGGTCAGCCAAGTGTCTCTCGGACTATCCGAGCTGACTTGCTGCCGTGACGCGGCGTAAAACGAAAACGGGTTATCACTCGCGGTCGTTCGGTTCTTTACCGAGGATCATCACTCATCACCGGATCCTGGTATCACTGAGGACGTTGGTCCGAAACGGAGCACGACGACGACGACAACGACGACGATGACGACGACGACGACGACGCGGCGACACTCGCGTAGCCGAGACCGTGGACGTCGACGGCTCGGCGTTCACCGAAGACGGTCACGACCGGTCTTGTACTCCAGAGGGTGCGGGCGAACGGATCCACTTGGACGAGCGTTGCTGAGCGAGGACGGCCACCAGAACCAGAAGCGGTACGGCAGACGAGTAAAAGGTTGCACGGCGGTGTCTCCTCCGGTGGTGCGCGTACGCGTGTACGCTTTCCTCGCGTACGGTTTGTCTCTCCCGAGTGCGCGAGCGTGCGGAGAGACGCGAGAGCGTGCGAGCGAGCGAGCGAGCCAGATCGAGCGTGTGTCTGTGCGTCTGTGTATGTGTGTACAAGAGAGAGAGAGAGAGAGAGAGAAAGAAAGAGAGAGAGAGTGAGTGAGAGGAGAGGAGAGAAAAACTGTGCGAGAGAAAGAGAGAGATTCTGTGTCGTATGTACGTGTGTGTATATACGTGTGTAGTACGTGCGCGCGCGCGCGAGAGAGGAGGGACGACGGACTCGCAAAAGATCTCGCTCGAGCTCTCTCATGCGTTATGCATGTCGTAGCTGAGAGCGACTGACTGCCTCGCCTCGCAGCTCGCTCGAGGTTCCCGAGGCTCCCGGACCACCGCTCGGTGGAACCGACTCATGCGCGCCACCGTCCTGCACATCCCCACCGAGTCCCGATACCGCCGCTCCGATTGGCTCCGCTCGCAAGGTGGCCGTCGACGAACGTCACCGTCGGGCGGAACCTGGCGCGACCGCGCCTCCGAGGCAACCTACGCAC